GAGGCGGCGGGGGCCGGGCGGAGCCGAGCCGCGCGCCTGGGCCCCGCTCTGGGGTCCGGATGGCCCCCCCGGGCGCGCTTCCTCCCGCACTCCCGGTCGCCGGCCGTGGGCTCGGGGTCGCAGCGTGTCCCGTTGCCCCCGCCCGGGTCTCCACGCCTCCCCACCCCCCACCCCCAAATGGGGGCGCGCGCCTTTAAAATGCGTCCTAATAGCCGGGACGTCACCACAGGCCGGAGATTCGCGGGAGTGCCGCTGGGCTCGGGACGTGTGTTTCCACGTTCAGACGGAGCCGTCTCCAACCCTGCAGGGGCTTCGGAAGGCCGGGGCGCCTCGCCTCCTAGTGCTGCTCCCCTGTCCTGTGTTTTGACTTATGTCAGGCTCGGACTCAGGCTTCTCTCTCCCTTCTTTCAGAATTTTGCACAATAGTATCTAAAATTGTTGGACACTTGACATTCTGAAGTCAAATTTTTATGTATAGGTTACGTATACACAATCGATAGAGACTTGCAAAGGTTAAACTTGTAATTTGATACGTATTATCTACTTATTTTAGAAGCTTTGTTCGGGAGGGATAACTTTGTGTCTCGTGTTAACGTTTTATTTCGAAGATCTTTCACAGTAAAGATTTAATAAAAATTAAATTCTGATTTTTTTTAATTGTGTGTGTTTAACCAGTTGAAATTCAGTTGTTTTACCTCTTTGAAAAATTGAAGTTAGGATGAAATTAGAACGCCTTAACATCCAATGTAAATGGCTTGAATTTATCTACAACTGCAGCTCTACCTTACTGATAAACACTGTCACTCTTTTTAAAACACAGAACAGTCTACTTTGGGAAGTGAAGAATGGAATCCTTGGGAAATAGATGAAAGAAATGAGCAAGAACACAGATTTAAAACTAGCCTTCAAATATTAAATAAATCCACAAAAGGGAAAACAGACTTGCATGTACAAATCTGGGGCAAAGCTGCCATTGGTAAGTTAATGTGTAGAGCTAAGACATGTAAAAAGCATTGTAAAATGCAGTTTACTAATATTCAGTTCATGTTAATACAGTTATAGTTTATTTCATCATTTGCTAATTAAGGCATCATGATGCATTTTTTCACTTTTTCTCAATATTTCATTTCTCCTTTTTGTTAGACAACATCTGTGTAAATACACACACAGGCACAAATGTATTCTATTGTTGGTCTTGAGCAGAGCAGAGCTTTATTTGTGGATACAAAAAGTGGGTTGTGTAAGCATCATTATATTGAAATGCCTATGTCAGCTGAATTTTCATGAAGATATATATTTATTGGACACTTGATACACAAGTATAAGATGTGGCCCCCTGCTCTCGATGGCCAAACAAGTTTGGGAAACATTGAACTGAACAAAGTTAAACAGGGTTCTTTATTGCAGGTCTTTCTTGGAGCCTTTAATATGCCAGTGTTCCTTGTGAATGTCCAAGAAGGGGATATAGTATGTAGTTGATAGAACTTGATTGCCCACAAAAGCATTTTTGCTCTGAGTGTCATGAGAGTCTAGTGTTCCAACTGTTCAGTTAGAGAATGGGACCCTCAATGAGGGTTAGAAGAGTCAGAAAGAATTTAGCGAATTAAAAGGGGTATTTTTTTGCCTTTAAAAATGAGTTAGATTTATATACAGTAAGGGATATGGATAGAAAGTACCAGATGAGAGGAAAGTAAACTGAGAATAATGCCTGGCCCATGGTGTTTCATAAATTCATTCACATTTGTATGCAAATATACATTCTTGAAGATTACTAATGACCTCTAAATTTCAGGTACCCAGATCCAGGCCTCCAGTCATCAAGTTCTAGCAATTTTTTTCTTTATAAAATCTCTAGTATTAATTTCTTTCTTTAAATTTCCACTTCCCCATTGTAGTTTTTAATTAGATCTACCTCTTAACAGGTTTTTGTGTTTCCAGACTTTTCTCTTTTCAATCAAGTAAGCACACAGTGGCCAGATGAGTTTTATCAAACACCACTTTCATCAACCTGTTCCCCAGGCACAGTCATAGGATACCAGTTATAGACATTCCCATTCAAAAAGGGAGAAAATGGAAGGAAAATGGAGTCACTGGTCCAAGCAATTTTGAAATCCAACCAGGCAAATTCCATTCGGTTTCAAGCCTGGGAATAATCTGTGGCTCAAAGCTTTGCTTCTGGCCTTTCAGCTCTACACTTGGAGTCATCCTTCCTTTTGCATGAAGAGTAGCATGTATTTGCACCTCCATAGTTTTAGCAGTCTGTTTCTTGCTGGTAGGATTTTGGGAGTCCAACAGCCTTCTTTCATTTCAACATTTCTCTATCCCCTTTAGTCCAAGCTGACAGGGTTTCTGCTGATATAACATTCTCAAGAACCTTGTGGGTCTCCTGTGTATGTCATGAGGATTCACTCCATTAGACAAGAGCTCCTCTACAGGTCTTTCCTGGATAATCCCATCTATAGTTCTGGCTACTGCTGCAGTGGCTGAGGAGGCTCATAAATTACGCACCTAATATCCTCAAAGAGCCTTCTATGTGACTGAACATTCTGACCTTTTTATCCTTCTGAAGCACTAGCAAAAGGATGTTCAGCTACGTCCTTGGCCTCTCTCCAGAGCATGCTTTCCTGACAGTGAATCTCCTGATTTTTCACCTCTTTTGCAATCTGAATAGGCTGCGAATTTCTCAGATCATCAAGTCCTGGTTCCTTTTTGTTTACCGGTCCTTCTCTCAATCTCTTTCCTCTAGCATTTTATTATAATCAGCAAGAAGAAACCAGGTCACAGCTTCAACAATTTGCTTGAAAATCTCTTCTGCTAAATATCCAAGTTTATCATTTACAAATTCTACCTTCCACATAACTGTAGGACACAATTCAGCTAAGCTCTCTGCTGCTATTATATAACCAAGATCCCCTTTTCTCCAGTCTCTAACAAGTTCCTCGTTTCCTTTGTACTCTCCCAGCAGTGCTTTTAACGTGCTTGCTTCTACCAACAGTCTGCTTATGGTGATTTAGGTATTCTCTAGAATGATATAAGTTTTTTTCTATTGTGCTCCTAACTTTCTTCTGAGTTGTCCCTAGCTGAGTCATTAACATCCATATTTCTACCTATAATCTGTTCAAGGCAATCTAATCTAGGCTTTTTTTATCTGAGGCTCCTCAGAATTCTTCCAGCCTCTCCCCATTATCCAATTGCAAAGCCACTTCCAAATTTTTAAGTATTTATTACAGCAGAACGCCATTTCCGGGTACCATAATCTATAACTACATAATCCTTAGTTTCCTATGGCTACCATAAACAATAACGAAAAATTTGGTGGCCTAAAACAACACAAATTTATTATCTTTTTTTAATTGAGATGTAATTGACTTATATTAGTTTCAGGTATACAACATAATGATCTGATATTTGTATATATTGGGAAATGATCAATACAATAAGTCTAGTTAAATCCGTCACCACACATAGTTACAATTTTTTTTCTTGAGATGAGGATTTTTAAGATCTCTCTTAGTGACTTTCAAATATACAATACAGTATTATTAACTGTAGTCACCACAAATTAATTATCTTACGTATCTGAAGGCAGAAGTCCAAAATGTGTCCACAGGGCTCTCTTCCTTTTGAGGGCTCTAGAAGAGAATCTGTTTCCTTGCCTTTTATAGCTTCTAGAGGCAGCCCACATTTCTTGACTCATGGCTCCGCGTCATTCTGACCTCTGCTTCCATCCTCGTACATCCTTTCCTCACTCTGCCTCCCTCTTGTGAGGACCCTTGTGATTGGATAGGGCCCCCCCAGATAATCCAGGATAGTCTCCCTACCTCAGCGTCCTTAACTTAATCACAAGTAGAAAGTCTCTTTTGCCATGTAAGGTAATATAGTCACAGGTTCTAGAGATTACATCTTTGGACATCTTAGGTGGGGGGAGGCATTATTTGGCCTACCGTGTTTGGAGAGCTTTATCTGATTGGCCAAGTCTCTAAACATGGTTTTCTTGTGTGTCCTTTAGTACCAGGGTGTAATGAGAATGGAAACAAACACATCTTTCGATGTAACTAAAATAGGGCTCCCAAATTACCTCATTGTGTGACACAGTCTCCTCTACTCTCAGAGCTTTCATTCAGGTGAAATCATGATAAAACATTGGGGGCTGCCCTAACGAGAAAAGACGCAGTGGCGTTTGTCTGCAGAGGGCGTCCTTCAGTGAGGGATGTGTATTGAAGTGAGGAGGAGGTGATATCTCCTTGACATCATGAATGTATGTGTGTGTACATGAGCTCCTCTGGTTGTGTTTGGCACAAAATGGTGAGTCTCCCCAGGTATAATATAGGAACAGTTGTAATCATATAGTAACTTACATTGTAATATAACACATTTCAGGATGAAATACAGTAAAGGGCCAGTGATAACTAGGAGTTCCTTAAATTTAGAGTCAGAGAGATTATCGTGTTTAATATGACCCACATTGTGGCACATTTTACACTGATGACCTCTGAGATTCTCATGCATTAGCTGCCACACTGATGATTTTGAGCTGTTGCTTGGTAGCACTGCCTGACTCCTCTTGATCCAAGAGGAGTCAAATCTGGTTTCCTAGTCAAATGATAGAAAAGAGCAGGACAAAACTCGTCTCACGCACCAGAGTAAACCAGACGGTAAACGTTTTTGTTTTTGTTTTTTTAATTACCAGGTTTGTACCTCTGGGAGCATATTTTTGAAGGCTTACTTGATCCCCCTGATGGGACCGCTCCGTGGAGAGAAGGAAATGCCGTTGTAGGAAGAACACGTTACAGGTAGTAGCTGTGCGGCGTTAACCTCTGCTGCGTGCTGTGCAGCGTTTATATAAACACTAGGAGAAAAATGAGAGAAAAATATATTTATAGAACATATTTCCACCTCAACTTGTTGTGAAGACTGAAGAAGTAAATCTCATGAATATATATTCATAGTTAAAGCTTACTTTGAACATTCTCTTATGAAATTGGATGTTACAAAATACCACATTTTTGGAATCATGTCTGTTTCCTTTTTATCAAAACATTTCTGATTATATGGAAAAGTTCATGCTCCACATTTTGTAACATTTGATTGTTGATAAGCATTTAACATTCCATATCTTGGAAGAAGAATATGTGAACTTAAAAGTATTTTTATTTTTCTCTTTCATATAATAGGTTCACATATTTTCATAATATTCAAGTGGTAGCAAAGCTATTGCTATGAGTTTCAAAATTTTTATTAAAACGTATTTCATATATGAGTTCTATCACAATTTGATAGCATAGCTTACCATTTTACTGCAGTACTCAGAAATCTTTTTTTTAGATTCAATAAAACCAATATATTGTTAAGACTTTTGTGCTGTTATTTTTATAAAACTTTTATCTATGACTGCATATTTTCTGAAGATTTTTAAATAGAATTAAGATCATTTTATTTAGAAAAATTATGATAATTTTATCATATGGAAGAATGCTATTTTTTATTAGATTTTGCTTTTTTATTGAAATAAAAATAATTATTTTTAAATGCTTATTTCATGTAACAATTGTATTATTAGGGGAAAAAATGTGAATCAAAGATTCTGGTTTCTATTAGGATTCTATTTATTTCCCACAGAAATCAAGAGAAACAGCTATGGTTCGTTTCAATTTTATTTGAATTTTTACTGCTCCTTTAAATCTTTATTTACTTTATACACACTTGGAAAGCAATTTCATTGCATGTATCTTTTCAAAGTAATCATTCTTGAAAAGTACACAGGTTTTTAAACTGTCTTTGGTAATGATGATTTTTCCTTTCATCTCCAGGCTTCTGTTAATCTAATCCCAGTTCAGAGTTTATACATAGTGCTAAACTTACAATAGTTGGATTTGGGCGTTTGAAAGTAAATGTGCATTATGCTTATAAATCTAATATTTTGCTATGTGGAAAGTAAACATGTGTTATGGGTATTAGTCTAACAGTTCTGCCCACAATATATAGAATTTTCAGAAAAATTCTTAAAAGTTCATAGAGAAGTTAGCATACAGTGTTACTATAATGATAGCAAAGGATTTGAGCGAACAGCATTAACCCCCAAAAGAAAAACTAATTTACTGTTCCCTTCTGAAATTTTTACCTGAGATTTTATATTATGATCAAATAGAAATGCTATTTCCTCTTAGGATTTAAGAGAACTGTGTATGCAAGGAAGTTCACTATTGGAGCAGATTTTTTTAAACAGCTTATGAAAGTTTTAGCCAGCCCTGGTGGTCTAGTGGTTAAGATTCAGCACTCTCACCACCGAGGCCCGGGTTCCTTTCCAGGTCAGGGGACTGCACCACCCATCTGTCTGTCAGTTGTCATTCTGTGGTGGCTGCATGTGGCTGTGATGCTGAAAGCTCTGCCGTTGGGATTTCAGGTACCAGCAGGGTCCCAACGGTGGACAGGTTTCAGCGGAGCTTCCAGACTAAGACAGACTAGGAAGAAGGACCTGGCCTCCCACTTCCGAAAAAGTTAGCCGTGAATACCCTGTGAATAGCAGCGCAGCGTTGTCTGATAGAGCAGCAGAAGGTCAGAGGATGGCGCAAAAAGACCAGGCAGAGTTCCACTCTGCTGTCCACAGGGTCTCTAAGAGTCGGAATCCACTCCACAGCACTGACAACAACAACAACAAATTAAAGTTTTAGGCTCATGAAAAGTAGTGTACATAATTTATTTATCCAAAATTAATAAACCCTATGGAATTGCAAGTTTTGGGTTGAATCAGGCTGCATGGGTACTAACATTTAAATGTCTCAACACGTTCATCCTTATTTGACCAAAAGCGAACCAGAAGAAATGGCTCATCTTGAAGATACTGAAAGCGTTTCTAAGTACTATCAGGTACTTGTAAATATGCATAAATATATTCTATTTAAATAAACCTTTAAGTTTACAAAGAGCTTATATCATTTAATTTCAGTCTCACAACAATTTTGAGGCGGAAGTAGAAAGAGTATCATCAGTGTTCCAGGTTGATCAGGCTCGTGAATGCTGATTCTTATCACCTGATAGGTCCAAAGACTGTAATCCCGAATATCAAGTAAATCACTTGCAGTGGAACTAGAACTGTCAGTCAGTCCACGTGCTTGTTTGGCTTGACCAGCACATGTAGGCAGGCTACAAATGATACCCAAATATTTGAAGGTTGTTTGATTAAATATGGACTCAAAATATGGGATTTAACTATATGTAGTACTTCCAAATCTATGTGTTTCAGAAGGGAAGATGACTGCTTGTTCACCACTGAATCAGTAACATACAGTCTGTGCTCGGAATATGAATACATACGGGGCACACTGAACTTCTGAGTCAGCCTGGTGAAGCCCTGTCGCCTCTGGGCAGTGTAGCAGTGTGAGTGAGTTGCTAAGAGCACACACTCGAGCAAGAATATCTCAGTTCACGTTCCAGCTTTACTTCTTATTAGCTGTCTGACCTTGGGCAAGTTTCTTAACCTCTCTGTGCCTGGATTTCCTTCGGTTTAAAATAAAGCAAATAATAGTTTCTAATTCACAGGATTGTTTTGAAGATTAAATGCATTAATAGATGTACAGTGCTTAGAACAGTATCTGGCACATGGTAATCACTATAGAAGTCTTGTTGTTATAGTTTTATTATTTTTACTATTACTTAAATAGATACTGCGACATTGCCCTACCTTTCAGTTCTTCTTTTTCTGTTTCCATTACTGTCTATTATCTCTCCATCGTGTATCTCCCCACAAATACCTATTGATACGTTCTTTATATTAATGTGTTCAGTTAGGTTACAAGCTAGCATGGGACCCCTTCTGTCTCTTGAAGGAACTTTGTCTATCTGTACTTATATCCATCATATGTCAATTTATAGTTTGATTTCATAGGGCAACTTTATTTTTAATTTCTTAGGAGGAATCTTACTTCTACTCCTCATGGCCTTTGCTCATCCCCAAAAGACGGCCTTCAGAATCCTGTGATGTCCATGTGCAGGCATTGTCATAAGATATATCAATGTCTAGACATTTGAGAAAACAAAAGCTAGATGCTAAATTACTTAATTCATTGTTATCAAAATTCAGTTATGATATTTTCAATGAGCATCTGCTACTTACAGAAAAGTTGAACTTATTTCTAAAGATCAGGAGAGAAAAAATATGTCTGATCCTATTTTTAGAATTTCCAGACATGACCATTATAAGAAGTTAGTGAGCTCACTCCTCATCACGGTGAGTGAGAGCTGTTATAGCTAATATTAGTGGTGACTGATACTACATTTAAGTCAAATGCTGGCCCATAGATCAGTGCAGGTCTCACATAGTCATTGGTAAACAAAGACAATATAGTTAATTTTTCATAGTGCCCCTTCTCCCACTCTGGGCAAGCCTGTGTGAGAGTGGGAGTTTTCCATCATAAGCACCGAATCAGGAAGGTGTGGGTCATGGCAGTGATGCTGACCGCACAAGCAGGGCGAATTGCAGCAGCTATTCAAATGAAAGGGCCACTCGTAAGTTCGGGATACCTATTTTATAAAACTGAATGTTCTAAAACTGTTTATTAACAAAAAACATGACATAGAATTCAATGGCTGACAGGCGTGTAGACTGTTAGGCTTGCACGCTTATTCTTTATCAAAGCATTTGCCAGAATCTTAGTTGGAAAATTAGTAATCTTGTCTATAACTCACACAATATAACAATGATGTATATATAGTGTTTGTTCAGTAGTACTTGTTGAATTTAGAAAAAAAAAGAAACAGTAATTATATTGGAGTCTAAAAAATATATTCTGTTGACGGTCAGTTTAGAATTCAATATTTGAATGATTTCTTTGGATTTGCTGAGTATTAAAAGTACTTATTAGGAGAAAAATGTTTAACTGAGCCAAGCAGAAAAAGACTAAACATTGGAAATTAGGGGTTGCTGACTATTAAATTTATGCTAAGAAACCTAGAAGAGAAAATCACTTTTTAAAATTCTGTATATGAGCTCCTTAAATATGTTTATTCTTCTGTTAATGGAATTTTATGATTGGTGCTTGACTAATAACTTTAGGAACCTAAAATACACCTTTCATCATGCATAAGTATACTATAATATCTCATACATAAGCCCTACTTTATAGAATAAATGTATAGCTGGAAAGTTATTATTAAATTGAACTTTTGTAACTTGATTCATATTTTAAATGTGGTAGGAGAACTTAAATAAGTTGGTAGAGCAAATAACTCCGTTAAAGAGGATTACTGCTTACTCATTCAACATTTACTGAGTGCCTGCAAGTTAGTTCGTACTAGGCTCTGAGGATTTCAAAGTGAGTAAAATACTTTTCCCTGTTCTCAGGGAGTTCACAGACTAGTGGTTGAGACAAACACATAAACAATGTCATACCCTGTATAAACCATCTTGATAAGGATGTGCAGACTCTGTTATGTCAGTTGTTAGGGAATACAGAGGAAAGGCAACTAACCCATTCTGAGTAGAGTTGGTATGGGGCCCATCAAGAAAGGCTTCCTAGAGGAGATGATAGCTGAGCTGAGTCTTAAAAGATTGGTAGGAATTAGCAAGGCAGTAAGAGGAGAGATTCTGTTCCCAGCAGAGGTGACATCAGAGGCTAAGAACTGATGAACAGCCCGGCTTGTGCTTGGGCTTGCAAACCCTTCCGAATCCCTAGGGCAGGAAGCTGGGAGTAGGAGCTGAGATTGGGAGTGTGGGGCATGGCCAGACCATGGTGGACCTTATATGTGCCATGCTAACGCTCTTGGACTTTATTCTTGGCGAAAAGCAATTGAAGATGATTAAGCAAGGTGGTGGTATTGTCGTGTATGTTTTATTGTGTAGATTTCTCTAGTAGCCAAGTGGAAAAATGGTTTGAAGGCGACAGCTGGGTGCAAGCAGACCAGTTAGGAGACGGTAAGTATCCAGCAGAGACATAACTAAGGGATAAAATAGGGAAGTGGTAGTGGGATCAAAACCAGGAATTTGAGGAATATTTTGGCGCAAAGCTATCAGAATTTAGGGATGAGTAGATGTGAAGATGAGAGCAAGAAACAAATGTGACAATTCCCTGGTTTCTAGGTTGGGTGACTAGGTAGCTAGTGTGCAATCAAGACAGAAAATACAGGAATAGGAGCAGGTCTGTCCACTCTTCTCTAGCCCACCACACAACACCTGCCTGACTCCCTCTGTCTCAGCAGAAAACCCTGTTTCCTCAAGAAAATTGAAGATATCCATAAGCATCTCCCGTAAGTGGCTGCTCTAACATTTACCTCCGTGATCTCTATCTGATCCCTCACCTAACCTTACCTCTTCCCTCCGCTCTCAGACAATGAGGTGATTCCCCTGGTTCGAGCTTAATTCTCTCCACCTGTGCCTGCCTCGGCCTCATCCAAGACCTCGCTCCATCAGTTCCTTCCCTGCTCTCCTTTCTCTTCAACTGTCACTCATTATTGCTTTCTCACCTTCTCATCCAAACTTTCAGAAGAGTGGTCCACACTCACTGTCACCACTTCCTTCCTTCTCATTCACTTCTCAACCCACTACAGTTTGACTAACACACACACGCACACACCCCTATCTGCATCTTATGGGATGTTTCTTTTTAACCCCTAAAGTTTCTTTACCTAGATCTCTGCTTCCCAGACTGTGTACTGAGGCAGCCTAGGGCACCACGAACTATTTTAAATATTTGTGGGAAACACAGTTATACTTCACATCTGTCAGACACCATGCAAACTGCTAGCTCAAGGTAGTTTGCACTTTCAGCGTTAGATCACCCTGCGTTCATTTCAGTGATGCCATACCTTTGGGAAGCTGAGTTTTCCATGGTTGCTGTGATAAAATCCAGGTACTGTGCAAAAATCACAGCGGAGCAGGCAATGACAGTGGCAGTGTCCACTCTGCTTCCAGGGTTTGAGAAGTTATGTAGTGCTCTACAAGTGCACACATCCCATTGTTAAGTGTTTGTGGTTAGTTAAGAATGAAGTAGGAATATCATTTTTTTCTTTCAGTGTGTACGTATTATTTTTTTTTTTTTTTTTTTTGTGAGGAAGATCATCCCTGAGCTAACATCCATGCTAATCCTCCTCTTTTTGCTGAGGAAGACCGGCTCTGAGCTAACATCTATTGCCAATCCTCCTCCTCCTTTTTTTTTCCCCAAAGCCCCAGTAGATAGTTGTATGTCATAGTTGCACATCCTTCTAGTTGCTGTATGTGGGACGCGGCCTCAGCATGGCCGGAGAAGCTGTGCATTGGTGCGCGCCCGGGATCCGAACCCAGGCGGCCAGTAGCGGAGCACGCGCACTTAACTGCTAAGCCACAGGGCTGGCGCCATATTATTTTTTTAAGTAACTTCTAAGCTGCTAGGATATAAGTACTTACTAAGTTGTTTGGACCTAACAGCTTAAAAAACTGAACCATCACTCATTTCTTTTGGCTTGGGAGACACTATGAAAAAATTACTGAAACACTGAAGACTCTGGGAACCAGGAAAGTTTGGGAGCCTCTGATCTATTCCTCAGCTCGACAGCACTGACCCTGTGGCCTTCACCATTACCTAAACGTGGCCTTGAGGAGTGGAAAGCCCATTAGTCGGAGAGTAAGGGCCAGCATGCCTGCTGCTAGAATGTGAGAGCGCTCTCCAAAGGGGCAGTGGAGATTCCAAGATGGGTCACATGGGCCCTAAATGCATCATACTTCATTCTGTTAATTTGTGTGGGTCAATAAAATTAGGAATATTCCTTTCACATGAAAGTGACATTTGAAAATAGCTTACTGTAGTACTATTTTATTTTAATACATGAACTAAAACCGAACATTAGAATACCTATTATAGCTCCCAAATTAGTGGCATATGAACGAAAGTTTTACAATGTCCAGCTAAGTTAATAGTGTGCAAAAATTTGTCTGTTGATTTCTTCCTCTACAAATATAGCATATTTCTAGTTATTGGGGCCTTTGTAATAAAAGGGCCCAAGACATTCTGAGCTTTTGTGGTCTTCATAAGAGAGAAAAACACAGTTAACTTTTTTGACTAAATTACAAAATGTCTTCTTCCATCTTAACCTGTTTCTCATTGGCTTAAGATTTTTAATTTATTTAAAATGTTCAGTGTTCAGATTTTACTGAATTTTTTTTCATTTATTTTTAAAATTACATTTTTTCTTTTTTAAGATAGGTTTATAATTAAAAAAAGACTAATAAGTGGTTATTATAATAACCTGGAAAATTCAGAAAAGATAAGTTTTTAATCACTCAAAATTCCACTTTGCCCATAATTCCAAAAACAAGGGTTATACCGTTAGCATTTTGTGTCTACTTCGTCTTTTTTCTATGTGTATTATTATATAATTGAAGTTATAGTACAGATATAATATCCTTTCCTGCTTTTTCACAGACTGATAGGGAACGTTTATTGAGTGGAAGCTCTGTGACCAATACTGTTACGTGCTATAAAACACCGTACAGGTGTTTATTATCTATTGTATGTTTATATAAAGCAATAAGTAGATATATATCATTTGAAAAATGCTTTATGCCTCAAAGTCATACCATTTAAACAATACTTTAAAACACTTATATCAAAGATAAGCAATAACAGATAAGACATGTCTCTCAGGGCATAGTTAAAGACTCATGGTATTATTAGATGCTCTTATTATAAATTGTCCTGATAAAAATGTTTTTAGGCACATTCCTATCTTATCTACTTAGAAATCGAAATTAAATATTATTAGATAATTGCCAATGTTATCCTTAATTTTGTCTTTAAAAAAATTAACATAAAAGTTTGTGTAGCACTCTAAAATAGTTTGGGCACATGATATCTATGGGCTTAATGTCAAATAACTAAGTTTGAGTCCCATCTCTACCACTGCCTGTCTGGTGTCTACCAGCTTATGCAAGTCATGTAACCTCTCCCGAGGTTTCCTTTTCTTCCGTCATAAAATTGACCGGGGGTGGGAAAGGAGGACTGGCAGCCTTCTCCTGCTCTAAGGGTTATACCTGCCTGTAATTCTAAAGGCGAGACCAAGTGCTCATATACTACCATAACAAATGTTGTGAACCTATCAGAACCGTCATCATCATCCCTCAAGTGTTTTCTAGCCCCTCAGATTCTGCAGATTCTCTTAAATTGCTAAATAATCATTGCGCCATTGGCTACCTCCAGTGCTGGGTCCGTTCAGGGCAAGCTCAAACACAGTTCTGACCCCTGTGGGTTATTATCATTGTCACAGAATGTCACAGAATTCACACAGTACATATACACAAACAAAATATATATTTAGGTTTTTTGTTTTAACTAGTATCTACTAACTCTAGTCTTTGTTAACCACGTGTCGTGGGAACAGCCCAGGCCCTGAAGTTAGACAGATCTTGATGCACATCTTAGCGTTGCCTTTACAGGTTGTGCAACATAAGCCTGAGTTCCCAAGTGCAAAATGGGGCTGATGTGCTCTGCAGGGTTGTTGTGGGGCTGAATAGAGACCCGTGGAAAATGCCTGTGTGTCGTGTATATAAAAGGCATTCAACAAATGTTAGTTTTTATCCCCAACAATAATAAGCAATAAAAGCAGGATTACAGCATATTTGTACTAAAGATTAAAAGATTCTAGCAGGTTATAAAGAAATGGTTGAGGAGGTTGTAAAGAATCCAGGACCACTGTGACTAATTTTAAGATAGGTTAAGTGGTATTTTTTAATATTTAATACATACTAGTTTAAAATATTTCAGTGGTATTGGTTGTTCTAAGCAGCACATAATATGAAAATGTGAGTTATGAAACTATTCCTTTTATGACAATGTTTTTAAATACAGTAAAGAACAGAATAATACAACAGATTCCGGTTTACCCAACATCCAGAACTAACAGATTCTAGCTCTCCGTCACATTCGCTTTAGATATTTAACCCTCCTCTTAAAAGCATTAAATATTTCCAGTAAAAGCGAAGCTCTCTTTGTACTGTTTCCAGTCTCTTTCCTCTTCTTTCCTCCTCAGGACAATCACTGTGATGAATTTGGCGTGTATCCTCCCATTCTAATTTTTATGTTTATACTTATACTAGGTATATAAGCGTAAATAATTTTTTGTATATACTTTCAAGTTTACAAATAATTATCATATTTTGTGAGTGTTCTGCAGCTTGCTTTTTTCCTCAACATTATATTTTTGAGACTTAACCTTCATGAATGTTTAGAATGCCATCCTCCATTTCCCAGTTCATCAACACTTTCTCATCCGTTGATTCAGAGACTTCCTTCAGATGAAGAACATAAAAGAGGGGGGAACTACTGACTTAAACACCTTTCCATTATGAACTACACAGAGTTTCACACTGTTCACTTGTATTTCTTTGCTCAACAGCTCAAATTCTAGCCAGCACTTATTTTGAATGTGGTTAAAAATTTTAAAAAAAAAGCTCCCACATTCCTGATTATCATACGCAAGTCGAGCTGTCTACAGCCAAAGCTCCCCGTTAATCTACAGCCATGCCCCATCATCCAAACTTGTTCAAAAACAACTTGTATTATAGAAATTATGTTTCCAGAAAGAATATAGATTAAATCTTGTTGTAGATTTTATATAAAATGACTGAAAACTTCTGGTACCTAATACTTTCGTTCTGTTTTTGTTGGCTTATCTCTTGTTCTTGTTTTGTTGTTTTGTTTTTAACAGCTTCATCACTGGTCCAGCTGTAGTCCCAGGGTACTTCTCTGTTGATGTGAATAATGTGGTACTCATTTTAAATGGAAGAGAAAAAGCAAAGATCTTTTATGCCACTCAGTGGTTACTTTATGCACAAAATTTAATACAAACTCAGAAACTCCAGCATCTTGCTGTTGTGTTGCTTGGAAATGAACATTGTAATAATGAATGGATAAACCAGTTCCTCAAAAGAAATGGAGGCTTTGTGGAGCTGCTCTTCATAATATATGACAGCCCCTGGATTAATGACGTGGATGTTTTTCAATGGCCTTTAGGAGTAGCAACGTAAGTACAAAATATTATTACACATTTCTAAACTCTACGACCTGAATTTCTGAATCAAGAAGATTGTGTTTTAAGTTTGTAATAAACATAGCTCTTCTGGGATCACGGAGGCTAGGTACAATCTTTTCTATGAGCAAAAATATGGTTTGGTCTCATGCTTCAGTAACAGTAATGATGTGTTTAGAGTATCGTACCCTCTTATGAGGAAAGCAAATGAGTTACTTTTTTGTATTTTAAAGCGCCAAGCATAGGATGAATTTTCAGTTTTATCAGGAGTGCCCTAAAGAGATGATTAGCAGAGAATACCAGACAGACAGACCTTCTTAAAACAATTATAGAATTGATGTAATTTATAGTCAAACAAACAAAAACTCCTTCCTTTCCAGGCAGTGTTCTGTCAGGAGCACACTGTACCCTTGGGTTTAGGAGCACGATACTGTGCTCAGATCTGTCACTGAGGTTAGTTGAATGCGCACAAATCTCTTCTATAAAATTAGGGGTTAATTAAATATTGGCAAGGTTTCTCAATATGTCACATCTATAAAGTTTTTCTTTAAAATGGAAAACTTATTTATCTTTCTGTTAATAGAAGATTTTTGGTTAAGAGTGACTTGACTAAAAGAAGCTGCCATCAGCATGTAAACAGGGATGCTTGTCTCTTTCATTCACCACTGATCTGCACAGCCTCTAACAGAGCCTGCTCGGAGTAGGCACTCAGTAAATACCTGTCGAATGGATGGATTATGAAAAATATCGCTAACAGCATGTTTGAATCGGATATTCATTGTTCATTATATTATGGCTGGTTACAAGATGTGGCCTCCGACTGCTGCCCAGTTGGCTGCACAGATATCACAGAGAAGCACATTAATAAGACATATTCCCCGGCTACCACTACAACGTTCTGACTCAGTAGGTTTGGGATAGGGCCAGACAAAAACATTTATATTAGGTATAGCCAGGTTTAAGACACTCTGAAAAACCTCTCTCTAGAGTGGAGCCAAATTTGTAAAATGTTTTGAAACAAAAGAATTACTTTTTCACAGTCACAGTACATAACCTATTCCTACAGGATTGGATAGACACTGTTGTTCTGGTATTGTTGGAGCAGGCCAATATCTTTCTTATAGATCAGTGGTTCTCAACCAGGGCCGTTTTGCCCCCCAGGAGACGTGTAGCAATGTCTGGAGAGATTTTTGGTTGTTAAAAGTGGAAGGAGGGGGTGATACTGGCATCTAGTGGACAGAGGCCAGGGACGCTGTTCAATATCCTACAATGTAGAGGATGTAGAGCCTCCACAACAAACAATTATCTGGCCCAAAATGGCAGTAATGCCGAGGTTGAGAAAACCTGTTTTGGACTAACTGTTACGTAGAGCTTTGCTCTGATGGTTGTATTTCAGGCACACAATTTGATCCTTGTGATTTCCAAATGCCCATAAGAATGGGCCAGTTACAACAGGCCTGTCCTGTATGGCTCTCAAGTATCTTTTTTGAAAATCTACTGGAAAAGTCTTTGGAGTTGGAGCTCTTTGCTGTAGCAATATGGATTCTGTAATCTTTCCATCACCTGGCTAAAACATTCATTAAATCATGATCATTGTGAATGTACAGGATTACTTATACTTTGAAGGTCTTGAATACAACCTGCCTTACAACAAGTGTGTGATGGAAATTGAAGAATATAAAAAGCAAAGCAGGGGCCGGCCCTGTGGCGTAGTGGTTAAGTTTGCACACTCCGCTTCGATGGCCTGGGGTTCATGGGTTTGGATCCCGAGCGCAGACCTACACACCACTCATCAAGCCATGCTGTGGTGGCGTCCCCATATACAAAAGAGAGGAAGATTGGCACAGATGTTAACTCGGGGCCAATCTTCCTCACCAAAAAAAGCAAAGCGCTTTAGGCACATAGTCTCAATAGCAATTTTATAGAAGATATCAATGTGAGAGTCTTTTGGGGGTTTTTTTGTCGGTCAACAAATATTTATCGAGTATCTACTATAGGTGCGACACCATTCTAGGGGACTTGGCCATGAACAAGATGTCACGTCGTTCCCTCATGGAGCTTATGCTCGTAAAGAGCTTCAAGCAGTGCCTGGCACATAGAAGCAGCAAAAAATGGGAGAGATTCCCTTCCTTCTTGAGAATCTTTTTTTATAAGTCAGTAGATTCAGGGACTTTTTCCAAATTAAGCAGGGAAAATTCCAATTTAGGGTTTAGAAAGTCATATTTTAAATTACTTCTCCCAATGTCATCATGCTATCTAAGATGCTGGGTTATGGGAATTGCTAGTCCTGTTGTCATCCTTGTTAACTCACACGTCCTTATTTTTATAGCTATAGAAACTTTCCTGCGGTGGAGGCAAGTTGGTCAATGCTGCATAATGAAAGGCCCTACTTATGTAATTTCTTAGGAACCATTTATGAAAATTCATCCAGACAAGCGCTAATGAACATTTTGACACAGGATGGGAATGATAAGCTTTGTTGGGTTTCAGCAAGAGAACAGTAAGTTCCATGTTTACCTGATTCATCCATTTTGTTCTCCAATCAGAGTTGCTTTATGTAGCAGTACAGGTTTCCAAAGAGACATTGTTAACTCTGTTAATACCAGTCTTTCCCCAGGAGATATATTTTTAATTAAAGCTGTGAAGAAACTGGATCGTAGACATTTAAAATAGGGAGGGCTGGCCCAGTGGCGTAATGGTTAAGTTCGTGCTCTCCACTTCGGTGGCCTGGGGTTCACGGGTGCAGCTCCTGGGCGCAGACCTACACAGCGCTCATCAAGCCATGCTGTGGTGGCATCCCACACACAAAGTAGAGGAAGATTGGCACAGATGTTAGCTCAGGGCCAATCTTCCTCACCAAAAAAAATAATAATAATAATTTAAAAAATAATAAAATAAAATGGTTAATTAAAAAAAAAATAGAATCTCCTATAGCTAGAGTCCATCTTGAAGAGGAACACTAGTGCTGCCATATGCAAATGTCAATTGTTCGGGTTTTCTCGATAATATTTGCTAGGCAGACTTGTCACAAGGAGAGTATGAATGTTAATAAGGTCTGAGGTTCATCCGTGAGATGTTCAGCAGACCAGGTCAGTGTTCCAAGACTGGCGTGCAGTACTCCCCACACCTTCAGGAACCTGACACCACCCTGAGGACAGGAGCCACATCTTCCTCTTTGAATCCCCAGATGTAACATGGGACCTTGCACAAAGTAGGCCTAAGATAAGTGGGGAGTGGATAGATGGATGGATGGATGGATGGATGGATGGATGGATGGATGGATGGATGGATTTAATAGGGTTAACTTTCTTCCATCTTTTACTTGGTAATCATGAAACGTGTTCATGGAGTGAAGGAAGAAATTTTGGAATCGCTCATTTTGTTTTTACATAAATGGAGTTTCATGTGTATAAAGCAGAGTCATCAGAAAAGTAGTGCCTAAAAAATGTCATTCTATATCTAGAAATGTATTAATTGTAGCAGACACTCTCTTCTAAAAAGCATAACTCCCAACTCGATTGTTAGTGTAACCATATTATATCCATTCAGTCAACAAATATTTGTCAAGCAACTGCTATACGCTGGAAACTGTTTGAGCCGTGAGGGATACGGCAGTGAACAGAACGGTCAGAGGTCCACGCCCTCTTAGAACTTCAGTGCTTGTTGGAGGAGACAGACCCATAAAATATGTTGTGTGTCAGAAGATGATCAATGCTGTGTAAAAAGTTGAGCAGAGGAGGGATGTCGAGAGGATGAGGGATCGGAAGTGGAGCATTTGCTGTTTTGGAATGGCCAAGGAAAGCGCTAGTAGGAAGGTTACCTTTACACACAGGCCTGAAGAAGGTACAGGGGTGAGCTGTGTCTGTTTGGGAGAAGAGTGGTCCAGGGAGAGGGGAGCAACGTAAAGGGCCTGAGGCAGGAGCATGTTTACCATGATGGAGGGGCAGGTGACAGTGGGCCTGGAGTGGACTGAGGGAGGGCATAAAATAGCAACGCTTGTTGTGGGCATAGAATTATTCTTGTAATTCCTCTCATACCATTGAGCCAGGTAGGTGTCCTTTCTTCTCATTGCTGCTTCCAGACTATTCTCCCTTTCCCTCCCTAAAACCTCCCATTTTGAATCTCATGCCAGCACACCCTCTTCGAAGTCATTTACTGACTCTTGGGTTTATCCCCTTAATTCTTTGAAGAGCTTCGTTCCTGACACACCTACTTTCTCCAACGTTACTCCGGCCTAATTCTTGGTGATTCCCAATCTACATAGAGAGTCCTTCCATCACCTTGGTCTTGCAGTGCCTTTACCTCCTCCCCTCCAGTGATCTGGGCCCCGCTTGACCTCAGCCATTCACTGTTGTGGTCATTCCCCAGAACTTGACGTTACACATGCTGCATCTTCTCCATGATCGCAAGTTCCAGCATCTCTCTCTGTAACCATCTCCTGTCATTCCAGCTCATTCCCTGTAATAATCTGACTCCCACGGTAGCTGGGAGCTGCACTCCGTTAATCCCACCACCTTGTCATTGTCCTTCGCTCACCTGCTCTCTACTTTCTTCTTTACCCCATTAAATTTCACTGTCAATCATGACTGCATAGCATCCAGCTTCTTAGGTCCCTAGTCTAGCAAACCCTAACTCTGGTTGAGTCCAGTTCTCTTACCTGTTCCATACCTGCACCCATGTGGCCAAACACACTTAGAGAAAGATGCCTCTCGATCGTGCTCTAAATGTATGACCTTGACCCTCAAGTGCCCAGCAGTCATACAGGTCCTTGTCCAGGTATTCTCCCACTCTCCTAGAAGACTGTTCACACCTTCTTCTCTCCTCCCAACTGCTCTTACCTCATGACCCTTTTGTTTATTTCACTGAGGACATAGGACCAGTCCGGAGTGCACGTCCGGCTCTCTAACTGGTCTCTCAGCTTCTGCCTTTGCCCCTGTACAGTCGATTTGCAGCACCATGGCCAGATCGATTCTGATAAAACCTAGGTCAGGTCAGCCACCCCTCTGATCAACACCTTGCATGGTGAGATGCTCTGACTTTTTCTTCTACACCTGTCCCCCTCAGTCACTCTGCTTCGCCCCTGGCATCCTTGCTGTTCCTTGAGCACGCCAGGCAGCCAGGCCCACACTGCCCGGGGCCTCTGTGTCGCTCTGCACTCTGTTCCCCCGTCTCTGCGTGCTCTGCTCCCTCCACTCCAGCCCCAGGCTCAGACGCCCCTGCAATGAGACAGTACCTGTGACCTGTGTAAAATTGCAGCAGTACCCCCTCAGAAACTCCCTCCTCACTCCTCGCATTATCTGTCCTCACAGCACTTAACACCTAACTAATCTACTGATTTGTCCTGCTGGCTCTCCTCCCCACTGGGACTGGAATATAAGCTCCATGAGGGCAGGGATTTAGGGGGTGAGGCAGAGAAGGGAGACCTGGTGCACAGAAAGCATTGGCTGAATTAACGTTCATTCAGAAATTTTATGGTGACCACTGGATTTTAACAGTGTGTAGCAGTAAACTTTTCAAAGTCTTAAATATTTTCAAGAAATCTGCTTGGGCAAGATTTTCCTTATCTCCTCTGCCTGTCATCTCTATCATGTGTTCACCATTTCCTGTAACCGACATTAAAAGAGAAAATCTTTTCTTTCACAAAAGATGTGCTTAGTAAAGTGAAAACCACAGTTGTTTTTCTGGTTTCCTAGGTGGCAGCCTCAGGAAACAAATGAAAGCCTTAAGAATTATCAAGATGCTCTGCTTCAGAGTGACCTCACACTGTGCCCTGCAGGAGTAAACACGGAATGTTACAGAATATACGAGGCTTGCTCCTATGGCTCCGTTCCTGTGGTGGAGGATGTGATGACAGCTGGCAGCTGTGGAAACACATCTGTTCACCATAACGCCCCTCTGCAGCTCCTCAAGTCCATGGACGCCCCCTTCATCTTTATTAAGAACTGGAAGGAGCTTCCCGCTATTTTAGAAAAAGAGAAAACTATAATTTTACAAGAAAAGATTCAGAGAAGGAAAATGTTACTTCACTGGTATCAACACTTCAAAACAGAGCTAAAAATGAGATTTACTAATATTTTAGAAAGTTCATTTTTAATGAACAATAAAAGTTGATTGTTAATTATCTTTTTGAGCTAAGATCTGATTTTTCAAATCATTTCTAATGCTGAGTGTGTGTGTGTGTTTGTGTATTTATAAATGTTCTTTAAGGGTGTACCCTTGAAGACTCTTGATTATGTCTGTAACGTTGACCAAGCACTCCCTTATTGGGCCACTCCTGAAAATGAAGTTAAAATGTTGCTCAAACTCACTTGTACAAAGTTGAATGATTCCACGTTTGTCAGCTCTTCTCACCCATGTAAACCTCTCTATGGAGGCAGCGTTGTGAGTGGGAAGAGTGGGCTTTGGGGTCAGACAAAGCCTGGGTTCGAACCTTGCCTCTGCGCCTCCTGTCTGGGGACCTTGAGCAAGGCACCTCATTGTTCTGAGTCTTGGTTGCTTTCAATGTAAATGGAGGTAATGGTACCTCATAGGATAAGTTGTAAATATGAAATGAAATAATATGTAAAGTACCCGATATATGTAGTGAACTCTAAATAAATGGTAATTTCTAATTCATTTTTTATTTCTTACTAGTTAATGATAGAGTTAAATTTAAATATTTTTAACAATGCTCATTTACATAATTTGGGAGTAATCACATGCCGTGTTGAGAATGTATGTGGACAAATCTTACAGAGTTAGACTTTTAGACTTACAGAGTTAGTTACTCAAGTGTTGTGGGATCATGTTGATGTAGGTGCCTGGATGCAGAATTTGGTCATAATTCATACAAAACACGGACTGGGGGCAGTCAGAGCCATAAAATTGATGCCTAAACTTGACAGAAGTTGTCATTGAAGTACAGAGTCAGACTGGCCAGCTCAGAGGAGAGCGCTTCGCGCAAAGGCTGGCTGACACCCCTGGAGAGCAGTGGCTCTGAGTAAGGCCTGAGCGAACAGTCTTGTATTTGCAGGTCCTTGGGTTCCTGAAAGAATGCAGGGGAACTTGGGCTCACTCTGTTGCTTTGCCTGGCTTTTTGTTTTCTCAGGGATCCTGTGGCTTAACTCCTGTGAAACCAGGGGATTAACATCCTTGTTCCCTTCCAGGAGCTTTCTGTCTCCTCTTTATATGAATGGCCAGAGATATTCACCAAGTACAGCTCACCTGTGGAGCTCCTACAGGAGTGTTTGCATCATCATCAGGTCTGCTGGCCTGGATATGAAGGACCTTACCTTTGCATGGTATTGGAGAGGCATGGTGCCAGCCACAACCATATCCAGTTTTAAGGAAACTGCCCCACCTGCAGCCCCTGCTAAAGGCACTGCACTCAGGGAGCCATTTTATACCATGTGTCTCTCCTTTTTTCTCCCTTGCTTCAGGTGACAGCTATAGGCACTTTATTCAAGGGCACGCTGTTGATAGGCTTCCTGATGACCCTGGACTTTGGTGCCAAAAAATAATAATAATAAGTGAAGTGAACAGCTAGTTCAAGGCCTTTTTGAACTAGGAAATAGAACCTGGGAGTCAACTGCAGGAGCGGAAACTGCAAGGACGCAATGGAACGGGAGCTGTAAGCTAGCGCTGGGGCTGTGAGGAGCAAGGATGCTGAGAACAAGCTCAAGGAGAGAGAAGTCTATCCCTAGAGCTGTTGTCATGGTCCGTGGTGGGTTCCCAGCTTCAGCTCCCATGAATTTTGGGGTTGCTTTTTTATTTCCCGATTGTGTGTCCTCAGAAACATTTCCTTTCTTCAACCCTCATCCTTCCGTGTCCCTGGTTACTTGAGCTGACTTCCAAACCAAATGAGCCAACCCAAAACAATGAGCATATGCTTCATCTTCAGAATTCCCATCTTGCCTCTCCCTTGAAGAGGGGCGCGCGCCAGGTCCCGGGTTGTAACGTGATTCCCCTCTGACTAGGTTAGGGAAGTCTCTGTGCTATCTTTTACCAAAGAGACTGGACTTTCTCTTTATGTGGAACTTGCTGTTGCCCATGATCCTTTCAAAGACTGTTTTCTGGCTTGACGTATTTGTTTCCAGCAAAGCCTTAGGAATGTCAAGACCGTGGGGCCAGGAGACAAGTGAATCATATCAAAAGAAACTTTCCAGCATCCTCCAACATACTTTCTTACCACATGGAGTTTGTGGGTAACCTACTAAGAGGCCAACTCTAAGCTATCAGTTGCCTCTAGAATTAGTTGGAAATCTGCCTGCGTAGTTCTGGTGGTTTCCATTACAAAGTTGGAGTTCATAAAGTTTGAAGCTCCAGAATCTATCAAGGTGTGAATTCAAAGCTTCGCCAAACCAGAAATACAGTCTGAGGCCAATGCTGGGATGGGACTTCACTAATTCAGGTTACTTTTCTGTTAATACCAGAGAATTTTCCACCTCAGGAAGTAACCAGGCACCAGAATGCATTCATACCTTAAATATTTTGTAACATACACTAGGTACCAGGAATTACCTAATGTTAGGAATAAAAAAGCTAGTTCTGTCCTCAGGGGCTCATAGCCTGGCAAGAAAGAGAGAGAATTACATAAATAGTTACAAAATATTCGTGCTAAGAATTTCAGTAGACATATTTACAAAGAGCTCTAGGAATTCGGAGGAAGACCTGTCTGTCCAGGGGTAAAGCTTCCAGGCTTGTCTTGAGTGGAATTTAAAGGATAAATAGATTTGGTGTCATCTTTCAGTACCAGCAAAGGGACATTGGGCAGCTTTTTCTTTCTCTTCTAAGATCAGCTGAGACTGAGAACTTCCGGCTGCGTTGGTTCAGGAGACTGAGGTTCCTGGGATGGTTACAGGCTCCTCAAGTCAACTGCATCTCAGTCTACAGAACTGCTGATCTGTGCAGGCAGATGGGCTCGGTCGTCTCCATCCACCATGGTGAGTTCATCAGAGGGGATCACTGAAGACTGGTTCATGGGAGGAGTAGTTCTTGAGTATTCTCAGACAGAATTAGAGGTCCCCTTGCTGTGAGTTGTCTGGCATATGACAGGGTCTTCTATGTGTCACTGGTCCTAAAATGACTACTTCTTCCAAAACACGCACACATACACAAACCTGTTTCTTCTCAAACCTTCTTAATCTCAGTAAATGGTGTCGCTAACCATGCTGTTTCTCAAGCTAGAATCTGTAAATTCCTATTTCTTCCTCCCTATCTCTCCAGTTAATCACCGAGTTGTGTACTTCTACTGCTCTTCAAATTTGTTTGCTTAAGCAAATTTTTAAAATTAAATAATCTTTTAGCAGGTAGCAAATTTCTACTGCATAAATAATATGATGTTACTGAGATTAATTTCAAATTTAAGAAACTATGAATTACCATGTAGAAAATCTTACCTATGAGATATATTATTTGATCTATAAAAGAATTAGAGGTTGAAAGCTGTATCTGGCAAGTAGAACTTCTGAAATATAAAGTTTAATATGGTATCAATAATTTCTAATGCAGTCCTCATCACAAGAAAAAAATTTGTAACTATATATGGGGACGGATGTTTACTAGACTTATTGTGGTGATCATTTCACAGTATATACAAATATCAAATCATTATGTTGTACGCCTGAAACTAATGTAATGTTACATGTCAATTACACCTCAACAAAAAAATAACAATATCCAATATAAGTCCTCCACAAATATGGAACGACTTAAGTGTCTCATGAGAATTCGTTTTCACAAACATCACCAATTATTGACATTTAGTCATTAATTATATGAGTTACCAAGAAAACAGTAATTAAAATACTATATTAAGGGCTATAGTTATTTTCTTTAAGTAAACCAATTAGACAAAAATGTATCTTTGGGTTTTATACATTCTAGTTGGGTAGTTTTCCGTAACAGAAATTCGGATATTTTTAAGTTACCAATTGAAAGGAAACTGTGTTCTTTCTTTTTAACATGCAATCTCAGTCCCTGGGAGTCCTACATTTATGCTAGGAGTGAAGCTGCCGCCACGGCAGCTACCACGGGGGAAATTATGGTCTGGGCTGTTCAACTGTCAGGATGTATTTTTGTTGAAATCGTTTTATTGCAATGGTTCTTATGTGTCCTCTTTTACTGTTAAATAACCTTCACAAAAAAGGAGTAAATTATGCAAGTGCATAGGTATAGTATGTGTTTTACAGTCTGATGTGTGACTGAGTGTGGGAAAACTAAAACACTCATCCAACAGATAGCCCTTGAACACCTGCTGTGCTGCCAGGCAGTGGCCCCCAGAGTCTATGAATTAATCTCGCTGTCGGCCTTTAAATTTTGCAGAGTCTGTAATGCTAAAAAAAAGGAAAAGTCACAAATTAAGCACTTGGAAATATTCTCAGATGCTTTATTTGTTTTCTAGAGTCACACTTGTCTCTCTCATAATGATAGCAGTGATTACAGGTTCTGTGAATCCCAGTGCCCACAATAGATTCCCAGACTGTTTACTGAGAGAAGTTAGTCAAATAAGCTATAGTTTGTCCATCGATCCAAATACCCAGATGGCTAAGTCCACCTGGAATTTAAACTTATCCTAGATTCAAACATGATTTCGACAGTCTGTCTTGCTTAAAAGTAGGTCTGGATTGCTTTAAATATATTATCTTATTTACCTTTCTGAAATGAAAATGGAAAACAATTGCTGCTGCTTACCTCCCTAGGCACACCTACAGTGAAGCCTTGTTCTTGAAAACCACATAACATAAGAGGAATCCCCCTGCCAGGCTGGAGGGGCCCCCTTAAACCACCATCTCCTCCAGACTGGCCCCAATCCTTTCCAGGAAGGTACACTTTGGGCCTCGATTTCTAAAGTGTCCTGTATTTGTTTTTTCTCTTTTTGATTTGCTCTTCTTTTGCAATCTGTTGTTTGAAATGCTTGATTTGTTTAAAGCTTTTAAAACTCACTAAAAACAAAGCGGAAGGGGGCCGGCCCTGTGGCTTAGCGGTTAAGTGTGCGCGCTCCGCTGCTGGCGGCCAGGGTTCGGATCCCGTGCGCGCACCAACGCACCGCTTCTCCGGCCATGCTGAGGCCGCGTCCCACATACAGCAACTAGAAGGATGTGCAACTATGACATACAACTATCTACTGGGGCTTTGGGGGAA